TCGAACTCATGACACGACCACCACGAGTCCGTTACCTTGGCCACTAGGCTACCGCGGCCACCCAAATATGATGAGAGAGTTATAAAAAGAACGGAATAGCTTTAAAAGTATTAACTGTTAGTTACAATGCATTATTCAAAAGGTTTGTTCCAGTGTATGCATACTTTTGACTCCCACGATTTGTGTCATTCTCAAGTTATAAATATTTGTATAATTTTATGTAATATTCAGATATTGTTGCTCATACTATTTGAATTTACCACGTTAGATGAATCAATGATAAAAAGAATTGATTCAGAAAGACTTAATTTAATTAATGATCTTTGCATAAATATGAAAGATGATAGCCTGTACGCAGACTTTCCGGTGGCAAGTGTAAATACTAACTTCAGTTAAAGGACAAAAAAGATACTTGAAATATTTCCTAAGCTTTCCCATCACGCCAATGTGAGGATTTTGGGCCTCGATAGATATTTAAAGTTTATCAGCCCCACTCCTTGGAGATTCTCGAGTGGCGCTAGGATTTGTTTGACGGAAAGATATTATTGTTCAATAGTTTTGATTTAGAATGACATTAAATGGTAACTACTGTGGTGAACTCTCCCGTTTCAGCAGAAAGTCACTCAACAAAGTACTCAAAGAGTAAAGAAAAAGATTGGTGAAGGTCGAATAAAACTACATCTGTGACTTCCTTTCCTTTCACATTTGAACGAATCAAATTTCGAATTCTGAAAATAAAATAAAATCAATAAAATTCAAGAATGCCAAACACAAATGTCATTCCTATCGATTCCACCAACAAGGTGGAGCTATGTGGGGGAAAAAAAGAAACAAAAGCAATCTCGACTAGAACTTGACCTTTAATTTTTGCAACGACTACAGGACACCGCCCTGAATCGCACGTGCCGGCCCTGCTTTAGTAGCCCCTTTTATGTTTATCTTGTTCCTTGTCCAAATTAAGTCTTGGCTCCATTCCTCGCCAACATAGCGTGACATGGCACTAGGGGAAAAAAGGGGAAATAATACGTTAGGGGAGGGGGGAATGTTACGTCGGTCATGGAGAGGTGTTTGTCATTTGAACACGAGTGGTCTTCTGAGTACAATCACGCAATTATTGGGGTTCTCTTTATGGTGAGGCAAGTTCATTAAGAACAATAACCGAGCCGCAAGTCGCTAGGGAATGTAGAGTTTTTTAAAGCGTTAATAGATGAAATATGTTTGAAAAGATATGGTCTTTTTTTTAAAAAAAGTTATATAAATATGATAATCTCATTAGGAACGAGAACAGCCACCGAAATTTGATAGAATAGAAATTGTTGTAGCTCCACAGAATGATAAAAGCTTCGCTTTGCCTTCTAATAAATAATAATATGGTATGCTTATCAAACTATCTCTTTATCATTTTAGTAATTATTCGTTGATTTAGTTCAAGTTAGGGGGGTTCCAAAGTTCCAAAAAGGGTTTGATATAAAGTATTGACTTTAAACATCGTGCTATTTTCACCTTCTAATGAAAGTTCATTGTTGTTCCAGTAATGTAAAGTTATGCGAAAATGGAATTTGTAATTCGTAAAAAATGGGCTATTAATTCTTGAATACATCAAGAATGTAGTGCTTTCACTTTTATATGCACTATTCTAGAGATTCAGGGAATTTTTCATAGTATATATTTTTTATTCCAATTGTCATCAAAGTTTTTAGTAATGTCGCACTATGAAGCTACAGGAGAGCTATTGGGGAAAGACCTCGTAATTTTGAACGGCAGTCAAATGAGAGGACGATTTCATCACCTTATCATCATGAAAACTTTCGAACACGAAACAAACGAGTTTCTACAAGTTTAACTTGAATCAACCCCTCCCCATGTCGGGCTGTTTAGTAGCACCAGGATTGGAACCAATCCTTTTTTCCCCTTCCGAACGAAAATGAATGTTGTCGTATAATAGAATGATTAAACTTGAAAAAAAATTACTGGATGTATTTCAATCCCCCAGCTATTCTCTTCTCTCTCTCTCAACGTGCTCATTTATGAGAAAGAAAATTCTAAAGTATATTTTCTTTAGTTTAAAAGGGATAAAATAATTCCCGTCAACACAAGTTATCACGTGGCAAAAAAGGAAATAAAACAAGGAAAATAAGAGTAAAGAAGCAAATAAAACAAAGAAAATAAGAGTAAAGAAACACATAAAACCAATAAAATATATACAAAACAAAATAAAAGCCAAATTACAAAAACACAATTTAAGAAATTATTGTAACATATATGCATGCATTATCTTTCACAAACAGTCTTGGCACATTTATGAAGTTTACATGTTTCAATCCTTAAGTGATAAAGCTACTCTTCCTATTTTTTAAAAAAAAAAGTTGCACTGAGAGTTTTTAGGTTAGTTCAGTCTTAGAAACAATAACTAAAATAAAATGAATTAGAAAAAACTTCAAATAAACGAACCGCGTGCTGCGAACATTAATTTTAATTTCATTTAATGAATTTTACTAGAGTTAAGTAAAATAAATTAAAAGGAAATACTTTGTTTTTGACAAATTAGCTTTAAACAATAACAAGTAATATAAAAATTTTTTTAAACCAATTCCTATTTTGAATGTATTAACAGAAAGTATTTTATTAACGATTGAAAATTTGTACGATATATATATGTATAGGAAGAGAGTGAACTAATAGTGTAGGAATTGAAAAAAGAGCATGATTTGTCTGCATTGCTGTAACAATGCACACCCGGTTTGGCTAGTTTGGCTGAAAAACAGTTTTTCGACGCTAACTTTTGTCATTGTTTTAACAGTTACATTGTTACAACAATGGGAGATGAATCTAAGTTTGCGTCGAAAACCGGTAATTAATTTAATTACTTAATATTTGAAAAAACTGTGTACTAACATCAAGTGTCATCCATGACAAGTTTTAAAAAATTTATTTGGACTTGATTGGATGAATAGAAAGTATTTTATAAACGATTGAAAATTTGAACAAGATAAACATATATATATATATATAAAGAGAGTGTGCCAATAGTAGGAATTGAAAAAGGCCGAAGAAATTAAACATAAATTGCTTAGGAAACCCATGCAATGAACATAAATAGCTATTGCATCACTCATAAATATCTATTGCCTTTTCATTTTTTGATACGATTTTTAAATTTTATTACAAATGCTGAAATGAGATAATTGATTAAATTATTTGAAAAAACAACTCTTTTTAATCTGTTTCAAATATTTTAACTTTTTTCACCAATTTAATATCGAATTCATTGTAATACATTTACATTCTTATTATCTCTGACACACAAAAAAAGAGAAAATTGGGGCTAACTCGTAACTTAAAACGCACTTCAGATATAATTCATATATTCCTAAAAAATATAGATTTTACTGATGGAAAATAATTTATTCTGCAGAACATACACTCGTGCAAATTTAATATTGATTGGTAACAATGTATATATCTTAAGTGCATTCTCCGATTCAATAAAAAAATAAAAACCTTAAAATACTTGACTGAATAAAACCTATGCTAGAGGTAAAAGAAAAAGTGTATTAGAAGTTTTATAGTGGAGAGAAAAACCCCGTCCTGGTAGATAAAAGCAGGAATGACAAAGATAGATGGAGCCTTCGAGAATAAAAAGATGTTTACACGTGGATGTTTCTTACACAGAAAAAGAATATTGAAATGACACATTAGACACGCCGTAATACAAGCAGGGGGCATAAAAAGTTACAAGAGAAAATATCACTCAATTATTAAAAAAAAGGCAATTTTCTCTTACGTAATGAGTTCTCTTTTTGTCCCTTTTCTCAGGAAGAAAAGGGGAACTTTCCAATCCATCACTGGTCATCCTATTTAGTTTTCAAAATAGTGGTCAGATGATATCTATTGATATAGAATGTCATCGACTGAAGAGTAAAAACAGTTGATCGAACAACCAATCGTTGAGAAATTGCATTAAAATAAAAAGGCAAAACTGAGAAAAACAGAAATATGTTTGTTTCTTCCTTTTTGTGTGATTGCCACAGAATGAAATGAATTTTTTAAAGCATACTGTTTGCGAGGTTAAAATAAATTATTTGTATTGTTACGTTGATCGGGGTTCGAGGATTTTACGCAATCAGGCGATGGAAATGTATTGTTGAAAAACAATCCCTGAAATACAGGATTCAAAAGCAATATTCGCAGAACAAATCTCAGAAGGTCTACACAACTTCTACGGCGCTCATACACAATTATCCGTGTCTAAAATACAAGTATGTTAAAGATTATTCAAAAGCAATTACTCGTCCTACTCAACAGCCGAAGAAAAACTAATTGCTAGTCGACTCCTCATGGTCAAATCAATCCTACTCTTCAACGGTCAAAACAAGACTGACTCAGTTTCGGCGAGCGACTCCCTATTTATAGACCTCACGGATTTCTAATAGACCATATCCTCTCTTCATCTCGTCGAACAAAGAGTTATATCCTGGTTTAGCTATTGTTTTATGTTACTGACAACAAATTGTTCTTTTGCTTACAAGTAATCATTGTTTTTACATAAATTCATTGATTCAATGTAATAAATAAGTACACAAATCTGGAAACATAAATTTGCTAGATTTCCGACTTTGTTTTTTGTTCTACACGTCAATATCTTTCCAACTGTACCATATTTGTATTAAAGGGTGAACAATACTAACACTTCCCTAACATGTAAACGAGTAACAAAAACTTTTTTTACGTCAATTCCTTCTTATGTCAACAAAGAAAATTTTTATTTTAGTTACTTTTTATTAAATAATTACAATTAATATAAATATGTATATACATATGACGGGATCACAATATTAAAGGGCAAAAGAGAAAGCGATTTCCTTTGCCATTTTCTCATTTTCCTTTCTATATAAGGTGTTGAACTAGTATTTGTTTGTTACTATTTATTCATGGATTAAATTTAATTATTCCAATAAAATAGTATGATAAAAAGAAATTACATTCCAAAGAAATTAGGCCATCCCAGGTAGGATTCGAACCCACGGACTTTGGGTTAGAAATCCAACGCACTAACCATTGTGCTACAGGGACAAAACGAGCGATTTTCCTTTTTACACCAAGTGTATGCATTGGTTTTTTCCGGTTTTTTTGGTAAAGAAAATATACGTAATTTTTAAGGGAAAGTAATTTTTTTCAATTCAAAATATTGTCCATCGGCTTCTACACATTTTGCCCATAGTTCAGGTAATTTATGTAATCCGTGCCAGAAAAGATGCCTGTTTTTTGAGGTAAACCATTCATCGAGCTATTTTACAACTTGTTCGAAATTGCTGAAGTACTGCTGAGCGAACGTGGGCCCTATCGATGCGAAGAGAGGATAGTCAGATGGTACCAGGTCTGAAGAGTACGGCGGGTGCGGAAGGATGTTCCCTCCAAGCGATTTTAAGGCGTCTTTCACTGGTTTTGCTGTGTGAGACGGCGCATTGTCGTTTAAAATCACTTTGCCGTGTCTTCTGGCCCATTCCGGTCATCTTTCGATCAAAGCGTGATTTAAATTAATTATTTGTTGGCGATAGAGTTGAGCATTAATGGTCTCGCCGGTCTTCATAATACACACTACCACTCCGGTCCCACAAGACACAAGCATGGTCTTCCTGACGAAGCGATTTGGTCTTGGTGTTCCAGAACAGACTTTCACCAGGTGAAAGCCATGATTTTTTCCGATGCGGGTTTTCAAAATAAATCCATTTTTCGTCACCCATCACGATACGAAAAGGATTTCTTAAGTGGCGTTGAAGCAGCATTTCACACTTTTCTTTTGACATTCATTCAAAATTGCGTGGGATCCATTTACTCAGTTTATTGATCATCCCCATATCTTGTAAACATCTGCTGATTGTTTCTTGTGATGTATTTAATACTTTTGCCAATTGTTGTTGAGTTAGGTCATCATCCAATGACTCCTGCAATCGCTCGTTTTTTTTGCACTTTTGGAGTCCACTAGAGTACTTCCCATTGAAATCACCCCGTTTCAAGTATCGAAAGTAAGTCTCTTGTGTTCTAATCGATGCAACGTTTTCACCGTATCTTTCTACCAATGACAGCTCTTTTCTCTTGATTCAATAAGAAAAGCAATGCGTACCGTCAATGTTCTTTTTCAGGCACAAAATTCCAAGGGATCACTGAACGATAAAACAGAGACGCTTGTTTTGGGGGGACTTAATTTATATGTTTGTAGGTTAGTGTCAGACCAACAAAATAACGTTTGTGATAAATTAATATGCTGCATACTTTTTGCTGGTGCCATCTCTTACTTGAACCGGAAAATACTTATGCATACACTTTGATTTTGGTGTTGGACTAATATTTTTGTTTTTTACTATTTATTCATTAATTAAGTTTAATTATTTCATATTTGAAAAAACTGTTTATACATCAAGTGTCATCCACTACAAGTTCAAAAAAATGAGGATGAATAAAAAGTATTTTATTAACGTAAAAAAATTTGAACAAATTATATATATATACACATAGAGAGAGTGTGAACTAATAGTAGGAATTGAAAAATGAATATAGAATGAATTTCTTAATCTGTATGAATAAATAACGATTTTGCAAATATAGGATTCAAAACGAGAGGAAAAAGGATAATTTCTAGCAAATACATTGTAAATATTGAATTATTTATGTAACATTATATCCAAGATCCGAACTGTAAAATAACAGCAAATAGATCTTACCTGTCCCATTCATGACTTTCAGAAGTTTATTTATTTATTTTTTTTTTGTTCAAATACGCTTAAGTGTTACGAGACTTATGTATTTTGAACCAGAGAGGAGTATCTATTTTGAATAAAAATGATTCACATGATATAATAATTTATCTCAAACGCTGAGAAATTCTGCAGCTTTTTGCAATTTTTTTTAAGAAGAGTTTTAAACCTTAGATTATTTTACGAAAAGTTAATTTATGGAATGCTTTGAACAATGCAACAGTCAACAGAATCCCTCTGCTTTTACAAGATTTGATGGCATTCTGCTGATGACATCATTTCTAATCATTAAGTAGAATAAAGCATACGCGTTCTCTATATTTAATCCTTTGCTTCATCATTGTAGGTAATTTAGATTGCGATTTAGAGACAGTTCGTGATAATACATTGAAAGCAATATTAATTATCATATCGTCTAATATCGAACTTTGAATTGTATATAATAAGATCATTCATCATATAATTTACATAATATCTCCGTAATTTAGCAAACGATGGAACGATATGATCTCATTCATTAATGGTAAAGCATTAATGATTCCATTAGTAATACTGAGTTGCCTTTAATATTTTAGGTATTACTGTAAATGAATCTTGAATAAGCCTTCTAGTAAATATCACATTTACGTCTTTAAAAATAAGTCTGGGTTCCGACATTAAGAATTCAAAATTAGTTTTAAAATAGTAAACATTCTCATTCTATTTTCAGTGATGTCGGATGTACACTTGTATTTAATTTTAGGTAAATGAACTAAAGTAATTTGAAGCGGTAGAATTCAACATTTTAGATTTATTTCTTGTTTATAAAAAGAGCCCAAATTAGTTTTCACCGGGTTTTTTCTTTATCAGAAATTAGGTACTTATTACGAAAGAATGGTACAGTATATTTTATTTAAAGTATTGTCCATTGCGAACCGCTACTTACACTTTTTTCTGATAGCACATATACCGTGTTGGAAGAACGCGCTTCATCTTTTGAGGAATCATTTTTCATCATTTTTCACGAATCAAACCAATTTTTTGGTATCTTCATATGACGTGAAGTATTGCTGAGATAAGCCATGATCCATCTATCAAAACAAGGGATATTTGGAAGGGGCAATGTGTGGTGAGTACTGCGAGTGAGGTAGGACTTCCCAAATGAGTGTTTCCAAGTAGGGTTTAACCAACGTCACAACTTGTGCACGAATATTATTAAGCAGGAGAATAATTCTGTCGTGTTTGGAGTAGTAGTGGAAGCTTTTTTTCTTGCGTGTTTGGCTGAATCATATCAAATGAGTTTGGAAGCTAGCTCCAGCAATAGTTTCATTCCGTTTGAGCATCTCATAATACACGACAGCCAGCCGATCCCACCAAATAACGTGAGTTTTCCTCCATGAATATTTGGCTGTTGAAGTCTGGCCACGCGTGGTCCCCGCGGTTTCTTCCTTGGGTTATCGTAGTGGAACCGTTTTTCATTACAGTGGATAAACGATGGAAGCAATCTTTCGTTTATGTCGGGTAAACAGCCGTTCATATGTGAAAAATCAGCATTAAACATTTCACGGCTTTAGTTCATGTAGAACCAAATTTCTTTGATTCTGAATCACTCTCTAAATTTTAAACTATATGAAAGTTTGTCGAGTCGCTCTTAATACAAAAGGCTTCCTGAGTTTGCAATGAATCTTTCTCGAATAAGCTTCCGGAACATTATTTATCTCTTCGACCTCAAACTTACCATTTTTAAACTTTTGAAATTACTCACATCAACTTCTCTCGCTTAAAGCAGCCTCACCATATGCTTCAACAAGCAATCGATGAGCTCTAGCAGTAAATTTCTTCAAACAGTAAATCAAAAGTTCTATCTAATGGCATTTATTCGACTCTTCACTTCACATTTTCACTCTAAAAGAAATTATGCGATGCTGATACAAAATCGCTAATACTCCAAGATTATGGTGTTGCGCCAAATGACGTTGTGACGGATCTATACGCGTTCTTCCACTAATCCTCTTGGGAATTCTTTGGGCTATCATTTACAACCAACCCTTTTGGAAGAAGAAACCGTGATATGCAGACAAGGTCAGTCATATATAGTATAGGTTTTCTAGCTAGCGAGAGAGATAGAGGACAATAGATGGAGACGAAGTTGCCTGAAAATTGAAATATTGAGAAGCTGACGCTAAGGAAAGATATCTACCGATCAGGTATTTGTGGCGCGTTTCGGGCATTAAATAGTTGAAGATATTTAAGTGACGATTGGTCATCATAACTAAATTGTAAATCAAATATTAGGGTAGGGGATTGATCCATAAAAGGATGGTCAATTTGATACAAGTCTTCTCAGTCTAGTCTCTCAGTTCTGTATTTACTCGTGAAAACTATTAACTTTGATAGAAGTAAAAAGTGCTAAAACAGCTCAGAAAAAAGTATCACGTGACTGTTGGTTACTCCAGCATTATGACATCCTTGAAGTTCAAGAAGTTAATTGTGTGAGTTGCAAATGCAAAACATATCCTTTTTTCCCCTTTCTGTTTAATGTTAGTAATACGAGTTAAAAGAAATTATATCATCCGCATTTCCTTATTATTTACCAATTAATCATCAGCAATAGAGATAAAATGTATTTTCGAGAGGGTTTTAACAATTTAGGATCAATTAATTTATAAAATAACTTTAAAACTGTTTAGAGTTTCTCGCTATCTCTTTAATGGTATATCATTAGTTATATCATGGAATGGAGACTATAGGTAAAGTTTGGAATGTTTCATCTATTATATACTTTAACGGACTTGTCTAGTTATTTCATGAAATTCCTAGTTTTTCTATGAAATAACTGAACTTTAACGATAACATATATATCACTAAAAATCAATAATCATAATCAATAACAGAGTAGCTAGTATTTAGAGAGAGAGAGATGTATTTCAGAGCTTCGAGGTCAAATGAAATAGAGGCTCTTATATGCCTGCTTCATGCCAAGATGGCGAAACTGTATTCAGAAATGTCAAATGGTGCTTCATTTCGGGATCCGATTGACGAAACCACGTGATTAAGCATTGCCATCTGCTTTATGATTCGTGAATTTAATTGAAATGGGAAGAAGACACACTCGTACTGTTGGCTAATGAAATCCCTCCTCACTGCGGTGGCTGGCGTGTAATCGGAATGCAGAAGTTGGGCCTCTCTTAAGCGATACTTGCGTTTTCGAATTCCTACTATTTCATTTCGTTTTCGAAGTTTGTTGGATCAGGTAGTAGTACAGATATTTTGAATTATAAATAATAATCTTGCTTAACTAATTCAAATGGGTTTTTTTTTTCATTCATTGCGTGTAAA